ATAAAAAAAATTCATATCAATATAAAAAAACTTATATGCAAAAAAAAAATCAATATATTCTTCACGCAATGCAAGATATTCTCCTCCTTTCGATATCATTGATATGGTAGCATCGGGATTTTGGGATATGGAACGAGCTGCGGATGAGTATATTAATACAACCGAATTGAACACCATGTAACGTTCGTAAGTGCTGAAAATAATCATATTTAAATGAACGTGAGACATAGTAAATTTGTATGGATTATCGTTTAAGATTTTTACTAAATTTTAAGAATAAAAGCATGTCTTTTTATCACAAATTAATTAAATATTATTTCAGTTACAAATACCATTGGTTTAGTCATTTTTATCACAAATAAATTCAATTATAAATGCCATGGTTTAATCGTGTTACCTACCCTTAAAGTGTACACTAATCTCGTTAATTTCTAATTCTTTATTTCCTTTGGTCATCTATTTTACCTTTTGTAAGTCCTAATTAATTTCATTATATTGTTTGTTGACATTCTTCTAACCTGGTCCAAGGACCCGTCACAGTCCGTTCTTTCGAGTACACCAGTAGGGGAGAGGGTGGAGGGTTCGGCCCCTGGGAGGATTCGGCCACCAGCGATTTTATTTTACTATTTCAAATTTCCCGCGAATCGTCTATGATTTTTGGCGCACAAAAGCTTGTTTTTAGTATTCAACCGCATGGACTGTGTCTCGCTAGTGTTTGTGTTGATAAATTTTTAAAGGTTTTGGAGAAAATAAGGTGTTTTGCAATTTTCAAATTTAACAAACTCTTGTGAATAATAAATTTGATCAAATATTTCACCTAGTGCATGTATTTAGTGGCATATTGATGGCTATGTTTCATAGATAACCTAACCCTAAATATTAATAGTTACTGGCATATGTGCCATGTTTGTAATTTTGGACTAGTGGTGATGCTTCGGCCTCTAGGTAGGTGCAGGTTTCGGCCGCGGCCGAAATCATCCCCATGTCTAGTAAGGGTAATATTTAATCATTTTTTCGTTCAATTTTGTAGATGCCTCGAAAGTATAAGCGTAAAACTAACAGATAAGTTGATGAACTGATGATAAAAAATGCGATTCGCTCCAATTTTACAAGAGAATGTGGCCTAAGGGAGGCAGCAAGAAGATATGATATTAAAAGGACAACTTTGCAATCCAGAATTAAGAAAATGCGAAGCCTAAAACCTGATGAAGAGATAAGAAGGCAACTGGAGGATTCCGGAAATGAAAGCGATATTGACGAACCATCCAACAAGTTTGGTAATAAATATACAGTTTCACAAGTTTTTACATTTGAAGAAGAAACGCACCTTAGAACATACATTCAGCAAGCATCCGACTTAAATTATGGTTTGGATTATACCCAGATTGAAAAACTAGCCTATGAATATGCAATAAAAATATCAAACTGCAAAGTTTCCGAAACCTGGCATCAGAAAAAGAAAGCAGGTAAGTTTTACAATTTTATAAAAAATTGATGTTACCTCTTGTTGTCTATACAAAATCTGTATGTTAAGTTACACATTCTAAAATTACACCGAATCTTTAAATATATCTGGAGATAGGCTGACACCTTAGCATTAATAAAGCGATACTTTTGCTTGGGGTTGACGTCAATCACAGCCTCTTGTTTAAGTTTATTTTTTTACTTGATCCTGCACATGATTCCTAAAAAACTTTTGATTTTTTTAGGAATCGAATGGAGAAAGGGGTTCATGGAAAGAAATAAGCAATTTTTGTCCTTAAGAAAACCAGAAAGCACGAGCCTATTGCGAAACACTGGATTTAACAAAGCCCGTGTTGAGGAATTTTTTACAAATTATAGATTAGTTCAAGAAAGACATCATTTTAATACAGCTCAAATCTACAACCTTGACGAAACAGGCGTAACAACTGTTATGAAGCCAATAAAAGTAGTATCGACAAAAGGAAAAAAAAACAAGTGGGTCAAGTTGCGTCAGGCGAAAGAGGTGAATTAGTCACCTTTGTAGGAATAATTTCCGCTATAGGTAATACCGTTCCTCCAGTATTTGTGTATCCACGTGTGATGAATCCTTCAAAGTACATGATCAATCCACCTGCTTCAAGTTTAGCTTTAGAAAATAAGTCTGGGTGGATGACTGGAGATCTATTTCCGAAAGTACTGGAACATATTGTGCACCACACCAAGTGCTCAAAAGAAAAACAAATACTTCTGATAATCGACAACCACGAGTCACACACCAGTGTCAAGTCTATAGAATTTTGCCGCGAACATGGAATCGTGTTATTATCATTCCCTCCCCATACAACCCATAGGTTGCAACCGTTAGATGTGGGCGTGTACGGTCCATTTAAAAATAAACTTGCTATAGCTTTTAACGACTGGATGTTAAGTAATCCAGGAAAACCTGTTACAATTGCAAATATAGCAGAGCTTACGAATATAGCATATCTAACATCTTTTACTCCATTAAACATAATAAGTTCGTTTAAAAATACAGGAATCTGGCCGGTAAATAGCTTGGTTTTTTCTGAATCTGATTTTACTCCAAGCACAGTTACTGATAATGATATAACACTAAACACTGCATCAGAAGCACAAAAAACACCACCCAACCTTAACACTAAAAATGAAAGTAGTAACAAAAATATATATGACAATCCACAACCATCCACTTCCAAAAGTTCACAAGAAGACTTGGCTCAAATAAATCAATCAGAATCAAATTTAGAAAAACAAACTGTGAAGATAATATTAAATAACTCTAATGATGTAACAAATGATACCAGTCCTCTTGAAACAATAAGACCTTTTCCAAAAGCACAACGGGAAGTAACGATTAAAAAGAGAAAGCGTGAAAGTAAGTCAAAAATGTATACCGATACACCAGAACTAATTGCTAAAAAAATCAATTGAAAACGGACGAGAAAATAAAAAGAGGTTAAAGGCTAATAAGAAGACAGTAAAGAGAAATGTGTTTTCGAAAGAAAAGAAGTTGACTAAGGAATCATCTAGTGAGTCGGAAATTTCAATAGAAGTAGCAGATTCTTCAGATGGCAACGAATCGTTTATGTCTTTAAAAGATATGGATCCCAATGAACATATTTTTGTTAATGATTTTCTACTCGTCAAGTTTGAAAAATCAAAGAATGACGTTTGTTTTTATATAGGACAAGTCCTTGAAATTGATGATGGCTTCTACCAGATAAAGTTTTTAAGGCGAAATAGTAATTCAACCAGCTTCCACTTTCCGATTATCGATGACATAGCAATGGTGCAAGTAAATGATTTTGAGGCTAGACTTGCACACCCGCAAAAAGCTGGAACTGCAAGAACCCAATCACTGTTTCGATTCAATTACAATTTCCAAGGAATGGATGTTCGTTAAAAATCTTATATTTTTATTCACAATACATTTGTTTTAATATATTATACTAATCCAGAAAAATTTATTTTGCTTAAATTAGGATATACAACTTTTGTACCAAATAATATGCTAATAAACATGTCTTTTATACTAATTTATACATAGGCCGAATCCTCCCTCAGTGCTGGCCGAATCTGCCTCCGGTGGTGGAGGGTTCGGCCAAACTGTTGACATTTTGTTTTTTATTGGGAAAAATTTTGGAAATACTTTATTGTCGCTATTTTGACTTTTAATAGTCTTAGAAATGTCTAAAGATTATGTAGCAATATAAACTATCAGAATTTAAGCCAAAATATGGGTTTTATGAGTTCATTTCTACAAACTGGCCGAATCATCCACCCTCTCCCCTACCACTCCGAAGCGACTGGTATGGTTTCTCGATGGCTGACTCTTAGTCCAGGCAATGCCTATTTTTTATGTAACTATATTTATTTAGTCTTTTAATTCACACATAAATGTTCTTTAAATTATTGATTGAATATTCTTCGTTATAACATAGTGTGAACCGAATACAGCTGTAGGAGGGGGTATAATCTGATAACCATTCAAGCCACTCATGTAACTGTGGACTTGTAGATGCATTTAAAAATTTAACATGAAAATATTCTTTTTATAAAACCCTTTGAAGGAGTAGGCATCTGATATTGTTTTATAAAATCATTTTAATCATTTTCAATATTGAGTATTGGACTTTTTTTATTTGTTCGCCTGGAGTGAATTAAAGAATTTGTAGAAAATATTAGTTGTTTTGATTTAGTTTTTGTTTTTTTAGTTTCTATAACATCAAAATTAAATGGTGTCCACTATTAAAAGTTTTCAGAACCAACGAACCCTGCTTCCAGACTATAGAGCTGTCGTGCTCTTGTAACCTTTCGTTTGCCTATGCATACCGTCTCAAAAAAGGAACAAAAAGTAAAGCTTTGGTGATAATCATTGACCAGGCTAACCTCCCATATATTACAATGAAAACTGCTTTCTCTGAGTTTCACATCGGCGTAAAAGTTAATATTCTAAAGAAAGGAAAAAAGTTAGCTGATCTTAGACGGGCTAACATAATCAAGCTGCCACCAGAAAATAATGTATTCGAAAATAAAAAGGCTTCGCTCAAGAATCCGGAACACCAACGTTTCTATAAAATACTCCTTAATTTAGAAGATGATATACAGATGCAAGGAAATCAAAATAATATATCTTTTATAAATAGTTGTTCATTCACACATTCATAATAACTAGTTAGTTTTAAAATATTTTTTGTTAAAAAGTTTGTTAATAAACACATAGGTACATCATCCGATTGTGAACTCTTTGAGCAATAGGTAAGTTTTTTTTATTCTCTCAATTTATCTAACTTTAAACAAATTTAAACTTTAATTTTGGGTCAATATAATCCTTTTGTAAATAAAATTTATAATTTTCATATACCTACTACATTTTTAATTTCTATTTTATTAAATCGATTTTTAACCACTAAAAAATATTCTTAGAAACAGTAAAATATCTAAGTGTATTCGTTATACAATTTAAGCAAAAAATTGATAGATATTTGCTTTAGTTTTTTGCCTTTACTTAAATTATGGTTTTAGGAACAATAGTATCAAGTTTTGATCTTCAAATATTAGTTGCTTGCTACTTGACTAGCACATCATCGATCAATGTTCCTCCCTGTACAGATCAAGTCGATTTACAAGTTATGAACATTGCCACGAATATTCTGCGGTACGCCACACCATCAGGTTACAATTTTGATGAAGTTGAACCCCAAGTTGTCACAGCAAGGAATCCTCACACATGGAGAGCTACATTTACTCGGAATGACAATGTCTATGAAGTCGGATGTGCTTTTTTAACCTCTGTTAAAAAATATTTTAAAAGATCCTGCCTACAAGGAAGTGAAATAAGAGTGGTAATATTAACTAACTCACCAAATGGCAGACGAATAGCAGTTTAATTTTTAGTACATTGTTATTGTTCCAACGTTCTGCGACGAAGAAACCGTAGTTCTAGATGGAACCGTAAGTGTTATCCTTAGGGTTACACCAGAGAGTTGATATTTTTTATAGGTAGGTAGTAATTGCTCTAGATTTTAATGACTCTGAAATTGTCCAAATTTGTCTGCATGCAAAATTATGAGATCATAATCCCAACTAAATCAGACATATATTACAGGGAATGCCTCTAAAACTACGACGAAAGACAGAAATAATACGGATAGAACTATCGCTGCATTTGGTAGTATCGTTGCATCCACCTTGTTATGGTCTGGAATTCACATAAATTATTACCCATATATTAATCACTTTATTTTTATAAAAGTTGATATATTTAGATCTCGTTTTGTGTGATATATGTATATATATTACATTTAGATATTTTAACATTCATTCCTGTTGCTCCATTTAGTTTTCCATTTTCATAAATCCCTGCATATTATGTTCTGCTAAAATAAAATATTGTTTGTAAATAAAATAAATTATTTGTTTTAATTAAAATACTCACTACTTGAGGCTAATATAATAATCCTTCTGTTTCCCATCGTAAAATTTAAGTTTTCATTAGTAATTAACTCCTTGTTGCATATTAGATTCTGCTACAATAAAATATTGTTTATAAATAAACTAAATTATTTGTTATAATTAAAGGACTTACTACATGAGGCTAATATAATAATCCTTCTTTTTCCCATTGTAAAATCTAAGTTTACAGTGTTTACTTTATCTTTAAATTCCTTGTAATTTTCAATGTATATTTTGTAAACAAGTCTCATATCAAAAGTTCGTTGAGCCCCGGCTCAAAGCATCGTCTTTCTAGGTAGGTACTGCAACGCGAAGCGACGTTCCTTACGGCGAACTGTTTCCTCGCTACCAAAACGATAGTGTGTTGTTCACACGCAGTGTGCTTTGTTAAATGGACTGACAACGATAGAGGAAATTCTTGATGGGGACGTATCTCTAATAATAGTTCTAGTTGATGTTAAATCAGTATCGTCAACCTTTTAGTACGAAAATTCCTAGTCTAATAGTTTTTTTTTTAAATATAATTTTGATATTTCAAAATTTTAAATTGTTGTAAACGGGATTTGATTTGCACAACTATTTTGGAATTTCGACTAATAGCTTGTCTTATATTTGGCAGTAGTTATTTTTGCCGCAATTATACCGCTATTTTGGTTCAATCGTCACCGAAGAAATTTTTTCAAGATACCACGCATTCTCCATTTTGTAAACCCTCTTCCAACTGAGGTAAGTTATTGATAATCTTTTGTAACTATGTTTGATTGTTATATCGGCTTTTCTTATTTCTTCTAGGGTTTATTTTTCCCCTTTTTGGTTCTAATTTTGGGTTTTATGGTTTTCGTTTCCTGTTTTATTCGACGCAGTTTCGATTTTGGTGTTCCCGTCTATACCGGCTGTGATCGTGGAATATTCATCGATTGGGTGATAGATTGGAGCTACACCCTGAACTTTGGACTGAGCTAAGTACTGAATAAGGATATAATTTTCAATTTGTTTTATTATCACTATTAATTTTATTTTTAATTAGTGGCACTATCAATATTAACGTTATTAATATTCTCACTATTAGTTTTGTTATTAAATATTAGTGCTATCAATATTATCGGTATTAATATTATCACTAATAATTTTATTATTAATTTTCTTTGTGTACTTGATATTAGCACTACTAATATTACCATTATTAATAATATTACGGTTGGTATATTATCGATATTATTTTGTTACTAATACCATTTTGAGTTATTAGATGTATATATTTATTTTCTCTTAGTGAACACACTTGTCACTAATTTGATCCGTGGTTTGGCTGGAACCCAAACTATTGGGGGGCTATAGTAGTTATATAGTGGGACTTCAGCCCTACGATCTGTAAAGCGCGTATAATCATACCAGCTAGTGTACGGCTCTACTATTTGTTTTATTTTTTCCATGTTAGCTTTACATATATATCCTATTTTAAAATTATAAGGTTCTTGTTAACAAACGTTTATGTACTATATTTAGTTAATAACTGATTGGCCTGCCATTATAAACATTATGACTCAATTGTTGTTTACTTTTCCGCGTTTTGTCTACTAGTTAATCATATAATTTGTGAACTACCTTCAGCACTTTGATCAAAATTCGGTGGCGCTCATATATCTGGACTTGACTTTAGCTGACCTTGAAAAGCAATATTTTAAGGAAATTCACCCCTGATTCTTCTCTGAGCTAGAATACTATTTTGAAGCATACATTATACTGGGTCTAACAACGGCTTTAGCCTTTTTAATTCAAAATAAAAAGTTAACCGCACCTTGGCACTTTTATCGCTAGCCCTCCACCGCTAAATACTAGGGTAGCGAAGCCGCGGGGTGCAAGTAATAACATCTAAAGAATTTTTCAAATATCCTGCCTTGAACCAAAAAAAAAATACTTGCCCTTACTGTCACCAGGATATTTTCCACTTCCCTCGTCATTTACAAAGGAATCAAACGAAGGCGCAGTAAAAGAACTGTTATCAATGGATTTTAAAGATCCTAAACCTAAAATTCTTTTGAATGCAATTCGTCGACAGGACATTTTCGCATCAACTTTAGATGTGAACATCATTCGTCCAGTTAGACGACCAAAGGGGAATTATAATTACGATATGGATGCAACTTCGCAGAATGATAAGGAAAGATACGTTGTATGTTGTATGTAAAAGTTGTTTGGAATATTTTACAAGAAATTATTTAAGAAGACATAGACAAATGTGCACTTTACGAAGATAAGGCACCAGGAGTACGAGAAAAACATTTATCTACAGCACAAGTTTTTACACTTTGTTCTGGGAGACACAATGAATTTTACAATTCTTTACGATTAAAAAGTGAAGTATTTCCTATAATGAGAAACGACGAGATATAAAATACAGCCATTGCTGATTCCCTTATCTGTAGCTATGCTGAAAGTTTACTGCGTAAAACACAAACGGTCCCAGATAGGAAACGTTATTTCTAATAAAATGAGGGAGGACGTCTTCTACTGACTAAGGAACATTTGTTTAAACTTTCCGAAGCAATTAAATTTAAAATAAGTACACCGCTATTTTATTATCAGTATATCAGTACGTAGAATTTAGTCTATCTGTTCGGGCTGGGCTAAACGAACGCTCGTAGTTTGTAGTCCTTCGAGTATATGTACATGATGAATGCGCTTCCTGGTGGCGACTCAGCCGAACTATTTCGGTATCTTTTTAGCTACAGAGGTCGTAGTATGACCCAACTGAAATTTTTTAAGGGGTATCCACATGATTATAGGCGATCAATAGTTGTAAGAACAACGTCGCTCCGAATTAATGAACGTACGAACGATATCTAGAAAGGGCCAAACAGCGACCAGTTTATATGTCTACTATATACTATATTATAAGGTATTTTTATGAATATTTCATGTTTTCGTCATTCTTAAGTGTGTATGAATTTCAAAACAGTTTTTGAAGGTCACTTCTTTCACAGACGATATGTATCAAAAATGATACAAACAAGTCTTTATTTATATGTTTTTTTTTCTTTTCTGGTCAGCAGCTATCGAAAAAAGATTTGTTCAGGACAGCACGAGAAATCTGGATAAAACAATATGAGTGTTTTTACTAAATTACTCGTCTCTTTGAAGAATATTTGTGCAGCCAGCACAAGGAATTTGAATTGTTTTTATTAAATTCCTCGTCTCTTTATTACAGAGTGAATAGCTAGTTATGTTTGTATACAAAAGAATGAGTGATCTCATTTAAAGTGTCGGTGATGTCTGTTCAAGATCCGAACTTTCATCCTAAAGAAGATTTCCAAGAAGAATCAACAAGCGAAAGTGGTAGCCACTAGGAAATTGTTAGACGCCCTATCAAAGTTGGAGTGAGTTTAGGTGATTGTTTGCAGTACAATAAAAGTAAGTTATTATTATTTAACATATTATTAATTTTTTTTTTTTTTTTAATACAAACCTAATTTACCTATAAGAAACTGAATTAAACTAATCTTTGTCCCATGATTGAGAAAAGGAGCGCTATAGAAGTGATTTTATCAACCAAATTAGTGTTCTCTAGCTTTGATACATAAACCAGTGTTTCTACAACACTTCCTCTTAAACATGTGGCAAAGATTAGGTTAATTCAGTTTCCTATAGGTAGAAAATTAAAATTTCGAACTCAGTATGAGATTGTATGTTTCAAATCTGTCTCCAGTCAATTTTTTTACCATTAAAGGTTTTTGTTGAATATATTTCACATTCTATTAATTAAATATCATTTTACCGTTTGATTTTTATACTTTTATCATACAATAAGTTTTTTCTTTTTTAATTGTAGATGGAATTTAAAAACATTAATTCCATAGGTCTATCGGAAGACGACAAACCAATCAAAAAATTAGGCGATCTACCGATAAATGAGCCGCAACCAATCAAAAAGGCAAAAATTGTCAAAACACTGTACCGGGAAAGCGTAATGATCGAGTTAGAAGAGTCTAAGGTTTTCCTGCCTACAAGGGTAACAACGAGTTTTACGAAGAGTGCCTTAAAAGAGCTTCAAACAGGCGCCTACAAAGTGGTGTTTAAGGGAACGAAAGACATCGGAAAAGAGCATCCTCTAAGCAAATTTGAAATTTTGAAGAGTTAATAGAGAGAAAGTAAGTACATATTTTTGTTAAATCGCCCACTACATTAAAAAAAATTATCGTTTCCAAAATTATTAAAAATTCAGAAAACTTTTTATTAACAATTAAAAAACTAAGAAAAATTTTATTTGATACATGTACTGCTAGAGATGCATAAATTTGGTTAAAACGCTTAAATAAACAAATAAGAGTTTGTTGTAATGTAATTCGCAAACGAAATAATTTATCAATAGGTACTTTAAGAAAACTGCAAACTAATGTTGGGCACTTTAAACATTTAAAAAAAAAATATTTTAACTAGACATATCGGAATGGGGTTAAACTCAAAATTAAAATATAGAATTAAATGGGAAAACATAGCATTATCTTTTTCACGTCGAATTAAAACAGAAGTAATAATTAATTTGCGTCATGAGGACTTTTTTTAGTGATTGTATAAGTATGTTCAAAAATAAAATTAATAAAACCTTAAAATAATTTTCTGTACTTAAAGTAAATACATTTTGTGGAGAATTTATAAAAAAGTCTGGAGAGAATGAAATTTTGGATCTTACATATTTTAATACGAAAAATGCTATTATAGACACAACAACTGATATACGATGTTGGTTTGCAGAAAATGTATAAGATAAAATTTTAAATAAATTGTCTGAATTCCAAGAAAAGGATTCAGGATATGCATTAAACAAAGTTATTTCATTAGAAGTTAATATTAATAAATTTGAAATGGGTAATTGTTTATCTTTCATTAAACTACCTCAACAAATTTAAAAAAAAGGGCCTGCATTAACATTAAAACTTCTGACCATGCCTGTTTCTATTGGGCTATTGTTAGTGCCCTTTATCCTGCTCATACTAATTTTAATTTAACTTATTCATATCCACATTATAGTTCTGTACTACATGCAGAAAACTTAAACGCATCTATGACACTACATCAAAGGACACCGCACTTAAAGCACTGAAAAAAGGTTTCGGTAAAAATGTCTCAATTTTATATATGTTGTAGTCCTAAACATCTTTATTGAATTTGTGAAGAAAAATTGGCGGGGTCCACGAGCCGTTTCGGAGCTAGGGTCACTCATAAGTGTACGTAAAAGGGGGCTTGCTATATGTGCACTACTTTTCAAATTGTCCTTATAATCAAAAAAGAGCATAATTTAAAACAAAAACAGCATGCATGCCTTAAATGGATATAGTTACTGTTATTAAGTCTAAAATATGGCAACTCTACAGGGTGAACAATTTTAAATGGTACGGAAAGTTGAATATTTATAAGATATTTTTAGTATTTTTGTTTCTCGGTATGCATTTTAGTAAAAAAATAATTTTAATACTGACGACGAGCACGTCGATGGGGGGTTAGAATTATTTTGAAATATATAGGGGGCATCATTAGAAGGTGATATCATATAGTTGTTTTTTAAATAGGATGCCCTATATATTATTTCACATTTTCATTCGTTGTGACGAACCGAATTCAACGGTATAGTATACTTTTACTCTGGAGTGAATAATTGAAGAGTTATAAACAGTTGAAAATTGGATTTTTTCAACTTTGGGCAATTGTTATATGAAATCGATTCAAAATCAACTAAAATGGATTACATGTCCCTATTTTAACTTTTTAAATATTATCCAATGATTTTCGCAAAATAATGATACAGAGTTGTAAATAATTCGGATTTTTGACCACCCCTGCATACAATTTTTTTTTTATTGTATCATACAGTATATGAAAAGTTAGGACATGGACATGCAAGCCATTTTCTTCGCCTTTGAACCGTTTTCACACAGCAAGTGTCTAAAAGTATAAGAATCCGATTTTCAATTGTTTATAGCTCTTACATTATTCAATTCAGAAGACAAATGTTCTACATCGTTGAATTCCGTTCATTACAAAGAACTAAAACGTGAAATAATATACAGGGTATCGTACTTAAAAAATATAACTTTATGTTGTCACCTTGTAATAATTCAAAATAATTTCAAAATAATTTTAAAATGTGCAGCTCAGAATACCTTATAACTTATGTATACATTTTTTCTTGCAAGTTTTTAAATAAGGGAGTTATAGAGCTACGACAGAGGTTTGTCGGACCCTGTATGGTTACACCTGTAACAAACATTTCTGTTTAGGTTTTCATTAATTTTTTTCTGGATTAGATATATGCTAAAATCTAAAGCGTAACTAGTTACTGACGTAATAAAAACGTTAAAATCATTTACCTTTCATAAAACATATTACAAATAAAACTTGGATTAACCATCCAAATATTTTTATAATGGAAAAACGAAGAGACCAACCAATCATTAAGAATTAAAATATTATATGTGTACGGTGGATCATGGAAATACAAGATAAATACTGCAAGACCGCCAACCTTAGCAAATTCAAGAAGGATAATGTTGACATAAATATTAAAAGAAAATAGCAATATTTATCTAGTTGCCTTTGGATAAAAAAGAAATCAAAGTAGTAAGCTGTCAAACTCTAACACGGTACCATTAGTGATTTAAAAATACAAACGGATCGTTATTAGTTAATCTTATTTCTTAATGATTTTTTGGTTTCTATTTGTTTTCCACTTTAAATAGTTTTATTTGTGACATATTGTATAAAAGGTAAGTTTTTTAAACCTTTACGTAACACCTGCGTAACTAGTTATAATTGTTTTTAGCATATATCTAAAGTCCGCAAAAATGAATGAGAACCTAAACCGAAATGTTTGTTACACGTGTAACCAGAGAATGAATATACGAAATATGGTCCGAATAATTAATGACGACAATAACAATGCTAAAAACGAAATTATACAAACAAGAAGGGAAGCATTCGGTCTACTACCAGCTCCTATTAGACAAATAAGTAGAATATGTCTTAACTGCAATAGAACAATTGTAGATGAACTTCGAAACGTGGAAAATGATCCAACATGTTTACGTTTAAATGTATTGCGACAAACTTTAAACACTACTTGCGTACTTTGCAATAATAATGAAAACTTAACTCGGCTTTCAATTAAATGCAGGGTTCATATTTTTATTACTGTTAATATCTACGTTCCCGAAAGTGTGAGAGTCTGCCAACACCATTTAGATGAAAATGATCATATATTTAGACAATTCCTACCTGGTTTAGAATTTGTTAACAGACCTTACAAAATAAAAGGTGGCCAGTTAGCGCTATTTTTACAAGAATTGCGCGTTACCAGTAAGCAAGAAAAATGGCAGTTTTGTGATATCGACAGTTTTTCAGACGATGAATTTAAGTCAATATCTCCAATAACAAAAAATCAGTTTAGAGATCCATACAGATATTGTGATAATATTTTTAGCCAAAATCAACGCCGTTTTGTGTCAGAAAAAGATTTACTTACATTTCTATGTAAAATAAAACAAGGTCTGTCTGATCATTTTTTAAAAGCCATTTTTAATTATCCTACGAGGCAGTGTGTAAGCATGGTGGTTAGTAACGTACGCTTATCTTTGATGCAAAGATTTGTACCAGAAAATATAGGATTTCAAGCAATAACACGGCAAGAGTATATGGAAAGACATGTTACACCATTTGCAAATAGGCTATACAATCCAAATCCAGAAGTTCCAGTTGCTATAGCATATATTGATGGGACATATTGTGAGATACCAAAGAGTACGAACTTTCAGGTACTCATAAACTATTGAAATTACTAGTTTTGTTTGCGTCAATATCTAGACGGTCCTGAAACAAGAAAAATATTTTACTTATTTTACCTTTATCCTAAAGATTAATAAAATGTAAACGTCTTTTAGGCCCTTCGGCAGTCTTACTGCGTCCACAAAGGCTACCATCTGATAAAACCGGCCCTTTTAGTTGCTCCTGATGGTTATATCCTAGCTGTCCAAGGACCTTACTTTTCTGATTCAAGAAATAACGACGCCGCAGTGTTAAATAATGAACTACAACGAGACATTCAAGGGATAAGGGAGTGGTTTCAAGAAAACGATTTGCTTGTTGTTGATAGGGGTTATCGAGATGCGATTCCGTTACTTCAAGAACTAGGCATTGACCATCGCATGCCCAGTAGTGTCAGACCAGGAGAAAGGCAGCTATCGGTAGAAGAAGCTAACGACTCTCGTTTAATTACCAAAACTAGGTGGATTGTCGAGTCTCGTAATGGTCACTTCAAATCTATTTTTAAATTTTTTGCTCAAGTTATATCAATTAACCATGCATTGCATTTACGAGACTTTTATCTTATTGGTGGGGCAATTATAAATAAATATCGGGAACCAATACTGATGAACGGGGCGAATATTGAACTTGCAGAGTTATTATTGCAAAAATCAACCGAGGCAAATAATTTAAAAATAAGGATTGAAAACGAAAACTTGCTACAACGTCGTGGCCATTTTGTTAATCTAGAAAACCATCACGTACCAGATTTTCCTCACTTAACTTTAGAATATCTTAATGCACTGACAGTAGGAACGTACCAGCTAAAACTTGCTCCATCTTATATTCAGGATGCAAGGCAACATGAACACGGTAATAATTTTCAAATCGACATCTCTATTGAAATATGTAATACAATTAGGATTCGGATGTGGTCAAGGTTTAAAAATGCGGCTAAATATCAAATCTGGATTCAGTATGATAATGATAACATAATTGGTTATTACTGCACCTGCAAAGTGGGAGCAAGGACAGTGGGTACTTGTTCACATATTACAAGCGTAGTTTGGTTTCTGGGATATTCTAGGCATTTGGTGAACGTAAAATATCCTTCAAATTCTCTTTTAGAAGAAATACGAGATGTTTCAAATCGATTTCACATTGCCAATAATATTTAGATTTATTTTTCGCCAAATGACCTGAATGTAGCCGCGCAATAATTTGGTAACTTTTAGTCAATTCTGTAGAAAATTGCTTGGTTACTGTTGCACTTAAGTTAAAAAATTGTTTTGCTTAAAAGTAGTAGGTTGAAGTATCTCCCTGTATAAACGTACAACTACAACTATGATTTGTACAAAACTAGTAAAACTATCTTGATATGGTTTTTGCATCACCCTGAATTTAAAAAAAAAAACAAGTCGTCAGTATTAAAATTAATTTTTTTGCTAAAATGCATACCAATAAACAAAAATACTAAAAATATCATATAAATATTCAACTTTCCGTACCATTTAAAATTGTTCACCCTGTAGAGTTGCCATATTTAGACTTTATAGCAGTAACTATATCTATTCAAGGCATGCATGCTGTTTTTGTTTTAAATTATGCTCTTTTTTGATTATAAGGACAATTTGAAAAGTAGTGCACATATAGCAAGCCCCCTTTTACGTACACTTATGAGTGACCCTAGCTCCGAAACGGCTCGTGGACCCCGCCAATTTTTCTTCACAAATTCAATAAAGATGTTTAGGACTACAACATATATAAAATTAAGACATTTTTACCGAAACCTTTTTTCAGTGCTTTAAGTGCGGTGTCCTTTCCAAATTTGAAAAAATAATGATATTTCTGTTAATGTTTATGCACTAGAATTAAATGTAATTAAAGAAAAATCATATTACACGGAAGTACCTGCTCGGTTAACGAAACTTAAGCATGAAAAACATGTAAATTTATTGTTAATTCAGAATAAATATTTTCCGAAATTAAATGATTATGAGGCTCCACCTATGGATGATAATGTTGATAATACTAAAATAACATATCATTACTGTTTGATTAAAGACTTGTCACGATTAGTTAGTAAACAATTAAGTAAAAATTCAAACAAAAAATTTATTTGTGATAGATGTTTAAATTATTATTTCAAGTGAAAATAGGTTAGCTGAACATGAAAAAGTATGTTATGATTTAAATAAATATAAAATGAGTGCTTCTAAATTTATTCATGCTAAGTCTCGTAATTTTACATGTAAACATACAACTCCTTTTGTTACATATGCTGATTTCAAATGTCAATTAAAAATTTTTGTTGAATCCGGTAATAAAAGTAAAACAGTAAAATATCAAAAACATATACCATATAGTGCACGTTTTTATGTGAAATATTCGTACGATGATAATCTTCTTTATTTAGAAGCTACCGTGGAACTGATTACATGAATTGGTTTGTAAATCAAATAATTCGAGTTTCATAATTTGTTAATTCTAAAATAAAAACAATAATACCTATGATTGAAAAGCCGAATACCAATAATGCAAAAATATATTATATCTGCAAAAAACTTTTTACTGAAGACGATATCGTTGTCAGAGACCATGATCACTTTACAGGAAAATTTAGAAATTTTTTACACCAAACATATAATCTTAACTTTGGGAAATTGTTTGTTATACCTGTAGTATTTCATAATTTCAGTGGGTATGATAGTCATTTTATGATTAAAAATGTACTTCCCATCAATAAAGAAAAATATATTTCTTTTACTGTACATTCCAATGAAAATGATATAAAATTACGTTTCATAGATTCATTTAAGTATTTTTGGTGTTCCCTAGAAGAGTTGCCTAATATTTTAGATATATCAGAAAAGACAATTTTAAAGAAAACATTCTCATTTAGATAATGATAATTTTAAATTATTAATTAGCAAGGGGGTATTTTGCTATGATTATATTGATAATTTAGAGATTAGAAGATACATCTTTAACATCAATGAAACATTTTTATAATAAATTAAATGGTGAAACTATTAGTGATGAAAAGTATGCTCATGCACAAAAATATTAGTCAACTTTCGAAATTAAAAATTTAGGAGACTACTCAGACTTATATTTGAAAACAGCAGATATTTTGGAACAATTTAGAAAAAATGTCATACGTATGGGCTCGATCCAGCATGGTATTATACCATGCCTAAATATACCTGGGACTGTAAGTTACAACTTTTAAAAAATATGGACATAATATTTAGACAAAAAGCGATTCGAGGTGGAATATCTGTCAGCAACCGATTTTCGGAAGCAAACAACAAATATAAGGCTACCTATGATCCATCATTATCCTCCAAGTACTTATGTTAAATAAGTTGTATCTTTAGGCAATGTGCGAACTCCTACCGTACGATGGATTCAGATGGGTTGATATTACTAATTTTGATCCTATGATTCTAAAAATGGATATATCCTAGAAGTTGATTTGGAATATCCGCGTAAAGTACATGATTTTTATAAGGATTTTCCAACTGCTGCTGAACATCGTAAACCACCAGGATCAAAGTTAAATAAATGGATGACTACTTTATGATCAATCAGGATATACAATACATTATCGTAATTTAGTAGCTATTGAATTAAAAAAAAACTAAATTATTTTTAATGTACATGGATACAGACAGTTTTATTTATGAATTACAATGTGATAATGCGTATAATATATTGTATAGATATCCCCTATAATATTCCTCAAGTTAACATCAAAGTTCTACGATTAATAAAAGATAATAATAATAATAATGTTTATTTATCAAAAGATAATAAGTACAGAAAGTAACGTAGGTACATTATGAGGTTAGAAAGTAGATTAACAATTTAAAAACCAAACATGAATAAAAAAATTAAACAAAAAAAATTCGTTAGGAAAAATCAGTGGGTTTTTAAATATTAAATTAAATATTATTGTTTCGAAACAAACAAAACCTAACATAAAAAACGAATTGTGTTTATATAAACTTTACATGATTCTTCATCTTTTTTTTGAACACATTTACACTTGAACTTGCTTTGACGTCATCAGGCAGAATATTAAACTGAACTATACCCTTATGAAACAAACTTTTCATGGAGCTGGTTTTGTTACTTGAATTCACATAAAAATTTATAGAATTTGTAGTTCTAGTGTTACGCCCGTGAATATTTGCAACTGGTACAAGCTGACAGTTTAAGTATTCAGGTAACATGTTGTTAACAATTTTATATATAAATATCATCGTCTGAATATAAAGTAGATGTTCAATTTTCATCCAATTTAAAGCTTTCAACATTAACTGTGAACTAGTAAAACGATTACATCCCAATATTGCCCGCATTGCCTTATTCTGAAGGATTTGTAACCTATCAAAATTAGAACACCCTGTATAAATAATAGTACTACAGTAATAGAAATGAGGTAATATCAGTGTATTATAGATGGTTTGTCTAGTCGATATAGATAAAAACAGTGATGCCCTTCTCATAAAACCAATTTTTTTAGACATATAACCAATGTGCTTATTAAATTTCAATTCTCTGTCTAGTATTAACCCTAAGTATTTTATTTCTTCAACATTCTCAATGACTTCGTCATTTATGACTACATTTAAATTTAAACCTAAATACTTATTATACAGAAAATTATTCGCAATAAACATAGACTTCGACTTTATTTCATTTACTTTTAATTTATTAATTTTAAATTTCTCTGTTAATAATTTTAATTCTGAGTTTAAAGTTTGAATTACTGTTCCAAAATCTTTCCCATACCAATAAATTAATGTATCGTCAGCGAATAGATGAATTTTACATTTGTTTAGTACAGATCCCAAATCATTTATATATATTATAAAGAGTAAAGGACCCAAGACACTGCCCTGGGGAACGCCTACATCGTTTAATAATAAATCTGATGTATTATCATTAATCTTTGTTTTTTGAAATCTAGTTGATAGATAATTTTCTAACCAATCATATACAGAACCATTAAATCCATACCTTTTTAATTTTAATAAAAGAATTCTGCGATCTATAGTTTCAAAAGCTCTTCGAAGGTCTATAAAAACTGCGCAAATGCCAATTCCTGGTTTATCTAATTTTTTTTTCATGTCAGACACAACTAACTGCAGAGCCGTTTCACAAGAATGTGAGTTTCTGAAACCTGATTGATAACTGCATAATGTATCATTATCATTTAAAAACTTCACAATTTATACAAGTTCAAGTACCTTTTCACAATATGGCAACATATTTATAGGTCTCAGTTGATCAACTCTATTTGTATTTATCACCTTAGGAATAGGAACTATGGTAGATGTTTTAAAACATTGAGGAACAGTTCCTTTTTCCAAACTTAAATTAATCAAATTTAATAAAGGATAACCCAGAACGTGATAAAGATGCCTAATTAAATCAATACCAATTTCATCTGTACTATTTTTGTTTTTCTTTTGGGAATTAATTATTTCATAAAGTTGTTGAATATTAATCATCTGGAAATTTGTCATTGTCAAGATGAAGCTAAAGGGAAAATAATTACACATTTCGTAGGTTTACGTTCAAAAATGTATACTGATAAGGTTCAAAGTGGTAAAATTGTTAAAAAATCAAAAGGAGTTAAATACTAATGTAAAAAATAAAATTAGTTTTAATAATTATGTGGATGGCTTAAACGAATTTAACGAGCAAACGACGTCTCAACGCTGCATTCGGTCATATGCGCATAATGTATTTAGCATTAAACAAACAAAAATTTCTCTAAGTCCTAAAGATGATAAGAGGTATTTAATACCAGGTACTTTTAACACTCTTCCTTGGGGTCATTATAAAATTCCCTAAGTATTTTTATTTTTGATATAGAATCAAACATTTAGAGAATTACCAGTAAAAGCAATTTGTGAAAACAGCAATAGTGCTGCTGATTTTTTAGAATTTTCTCCATTACCATGGACATAAACAAGAGAAACTATCCGAAAATTTCCTAATTGGCTATACATTAATAATTTAGCTCAAAATAATCAAAATCGTAAGAAAAAAATTTTCAATTTATTCCTTTAAGTAAAATTATTTATCCTTCTGAAAGAAACGCTGTACTTGCCTGTAATGATTGGGAGGACATTTTTGAAGTGAAGTGTTTATGTTTGTGGGTTAATTAATACAGATAGTTTTACAATAGTTTTAAATTTTCTCATAAATATTTAAAAAAACCTCATTGTTGTAAGAGATCACTATCATAACGAATGGAGGAAAGATCTTCTAATACCTTAAGTTTAGCAAAATGAATCATTTTGGTGTAACAGCTGTTTCGCTGAAGTATTATTATTCATCATAAAGTATAAACATAATTGTCTTAATAATTTGCAGGAGTAGGTTAAACAACACCTTTTCTCTATTATATTTAAGAACTTTTCATTGTTTCTCTATTGTATTATATGTATATAACATTATTAAATAAAAAATTATTTTATGATTTTCATTTCTGTTCTCGTGATAAATACAACTTACCTTTCTTTAAAAACTATTCTACTCAAATAAATTAATAATAAGTACATTTAAAATTTGATTCATTTAATTTTTTTATTACATCAATTTTATAATACGGGTCAGAGAATAACACCACAGCAAAACCAGCTTGTCATAGGAAGCAACTTAAGGAATCTTTCAAGTTTAGAGTAATTAAATGGAAATATATTCACTTTCTACTTCTTTAATAAAAATATAACAACGTTATTTTTAATATTATGTCTACGTGTATATAAGGCATCTTTTTAAAAGAAAAGCTGTACCATATGCCGATGCATATTGCACAATTTTCTTTGTCTTACTTAGGCCTTCTTATTCTGGTTCTTAAATGGACATTTCCTCTCCTAATTTTCTTAAGTAAAACTATAAAGTGTTTCAAACCTTATTATCTTTCCTCATTTCTGACTGCCAATGCATATTCATGAATTTCAGTAAGTATAGTTCCTCCTGAATTATTTTCCCACTGAATTGTCGTTAAAATTGGACCTAATTATTGTCAAGGGACGTTAAACGGTGTTGGATCTCTTTGTAGTGCAATTATTTTGCCTGTTCCCTATAAACTCGTTACCCGTGTGTTACTTATGGCTTTAAAACAGTCTTTAAATATGTCTGAATTGCTACAGTTCGATGGAAAATATGTTTTTAATATAACTGATGAAATAACGGATGAGATGACTATGGGCTCGGATATAGGTGTGAACAGTGAACCTTAAGATATTATTGTGAATTACACAGCCACTTTTACGCCTAGGCTTTCACGATCTACTCCTTACTCTTCACGTTATTCCCCTACATCTTCTTCACATTCTATGCCTTAATCTTCACGTTCTACGCCTGTGCTACATCGTTTTAAATCAGAAATAAACAAGAATTGCGTGAAAAAGATTCAATTGAAATTTGAATTACTCCAATAAAGAATTCCTGTCGCAAAAAATATTTTTTTCAGCAGAAACCAAGAAGAAAAGTCTGATGAAAGCGACAACGAAAACGGTGAGAACTCTTTTAGTGTAACTAATGAATTATTGGCAAAAAAAAAACATTAAAATGGAGCAAAATATCAAATTTTTAAGTAAAATATAAAAATTATAAGTATACTCAAGGTTTTGGCCCTAAAATACAATTAGAGAAAACAAATAGAAATTTTCATAGTATCTTAATATGTAAATAAATAGCAATTAAGAGTAAATAAATAGCAATAGAGAAAATAAAAAGGAAAGTTTCATAGTATTTTAATGATTAAACGAAAACCAAAAAAAATGGAGTTTTGTTATTACTTACTATAAGAAATTAACAAAAAAATTATTATACCTTGATAATTACAACATTGTTCTTGCTAAATTGAATTTTTTTTTAATTGATCATTCAAACACGATTTACAGAGATATGGAATAATATAAAAAGTTTATCTTTCGAAGAATCAACATT